AGTGCTCTTTCAAAGCGTCCCTCAACTGCATAGCTTCACTTTGAGCTCTTATAACAACCCCCATGGCTGACTGTTCAAATTTGGCAGACAGCTACACCATCTCCACCCTAGTGGCAGCTTTTCCCCTTTGCCTCATAGTAAGCAGGACATAACAGGCCGTTAACCATTGGGATATTTTTCTCACTGAGATCCAGTCTAGTCAGTAGGCACTAGTGCCCCTTCAGTCTACCAAAAGCACATTCAACTGTCATTCTGCACTTGCTGAGCCAGTAGTTGAATCTTTCCTTGGTGCTGTCAAGGTGGCCAGCGTAAGGCTTCATGAGTCAGAGGAGCAAGGGAATAGGCCCAGAATCACTATTGGCATTTTAATATAGCCAATGACAATCTACTAGTTGGGAAGAATGTGTCTGCTTGCAGCTTCCTGAACAGTCCTGTGTTTTAAAAGATGCAGGCATCATGCACCTTCCCTGATGAGCCTGCGTTGATATCAGCGAAGCATACCTGGTGATCCCCATAACCATAGGAGAGTAGCTCTTTCTGCTGACGTAGTCTGTGACAAGGTGGGCCGGTGCCAAAACAGGATATACATGTTGTCTATTGCTCCCCCCCTCCCCACTTTGGGAAACCCATTGCTGCAAATCCATCTACTAGTTGCTGAGTCAGTCCTTTGTAGTAGGAGATGATTAATGACCCCTACGCACTTGCATAACAGCGGCCCCCATTGTGTAGTTTCCAACTCCAAAATGACTTACTGGGTAATGGGGAATCTGGCATTGCAAGCTTCCAAAATGCTATCACCACTCGCTTCTCCACTGGCAATGCCACTCTCATGCTGGTGTTCCCACACTGCAAGGCTGGGATGAGCTCAGCACACAGATCCAGGAATGTGGCCTTTCACATCTGAAAGTTCTGCAGCTGTTGTTCATAGTCCTAAACCTGCATTACAATGCAATCCCATCATCAGTGCTCGTTTTTCAGACCCAGAAGTGGTGTTCCTCCATCTGCAACTGCTCTGTGACTGCTGCCAGCAACCTTGAATTGTTCTTTCATTGTTTCTCAGCAAACTGTTCTTAAACACATTCTCACTTCCCCTTTTGTTGCAGTACTTCCTGCAGGTCTGCAAGTACAGGAGAATCATACATACATCCTGTCTTTGCATATTCATGAGAATAGCTCAGCACTCTGTGGGTTCTATGCTTCTGTCAGGGATAGCAGAGACTGAGAATTGCTGCATGAGTTTGTGGGATTTTTTTTTTTAAAAATGATGGGATATGGATGATCTGATGGGTTGGAGAAGTTGCATGTTGGGAACTTCACCCCTATGTCCCAGAGATCCCTGGACATCCTTATTCTACCACAACTCACTTGAAAATTCCCAAAAGGTATTGCTCCAGATGGTGGGCATGTGGTACACTGGGATACCTACCTGTGGTGTGCTGCATTTTGTATCAACGCATTCCCAGTATGCATTCGCCCTAGTGATATACAAACTTTGGCTGATGCAAGTTACATCGGTGTAGAGCTGCTAAAGTTTATAGAGTAGACCTGAGCTAAATCCTAGGTGAATGTGTGTCCCCCATTGGGAATTTCATTTGGTTTTGATGGCTATTCAGAACTGTAACAGTGGTGGATTAGATCGTTCATGTTGTAGTAGGAACTTGACATGTTCAGAAAGCTGTAACAGAGCAATCCAAGGAGCACTAGTGAATGGCCATACCTAGGTGAAACAATGGGATTGCTACCTCCGGGGTCTCTACTTTTGAATGGACTCTTCATGGAAATCAGATGGTGGAGTGGGGCTATCTGGAATTCCCCCTGGTCTGCTCATATGGCTAGGAGAGCTGTAGTTTTTTTTTCTATGTTACCAGAGAGGGACAGATACTCTTTTAAAAGGTGGACTTCTCCAAAGCTGCAGTATCCTCACAAGAACAGAAGATACAGGTAGAAGAAGTGGAGGCAGGCCTCTCTCAAAGGACTTAGACCAAATTCAGGGACTTGAAAAAAGTGAGAGATCCCACTGAGGAGGATTGTGTTGAAGAGTTTCCATAAATTGCTAACTTTTATGCTTTGAGTAAAATGTGTGTGAGAAAAGTCTTTGTAAGTCTGTTTCCTTACTTTAATATCACACTGTCCCTGATGTCCCAGATCACTCACAACCAGGCAGACTCTGGAGGGAACATGTCGAAGCAACGAGAGGGCTAAGGAGGGTGGTGGCACTAGTTCCAAGGCCTAGGTGAGCGAGACTGCAGGATTGGACTCAAGAGCGTCAGACATGGGGGTCTACAACTGGGGTGTGTGCCTGAGTGACCCAGCTCTAGGAACAGTAATCAGTCACTACCCAGACAGCTTTAACCGCACGTGGGATTCCCAACAGACTGGTGTCAGTTTAGACAGTGGGACAGGATAGGTTGCAACACATAGAAATTAATTTTTTTCTGTGGTAGGATTTGGCTTATTTTCAGTATCCAGTACTACTACTTGCATGTAGGCTGCTACTTGAGCATTCAGCAAATGCCTCAGTAGTGACAGCTTATCTGCATAAGGGTAGATAGTTAATTTTTTTCAAGTAGACTTGCAGAAAAGGAGCCGTAAAGATGTTGTATGCTGTATATGATTTTGCTCTCCTTTTCCCCCTTCCCCCCCCCCCCCAGCGATTATTTAGATGTTCAGACCCCCACTTTAGGTATCAGGGAAACGGATATCTCCCGCAACTGCCTCATCCATATTATTATTGTTTAGCTACAGAAAATGGTTCTGTTCCTAGCAACACATTAATAAGTGTGCACTTAGAGGAGTGCGGGGGGGTGGGGAGAGAAGAGAATAACCTATTGGGGTTTGGCCTACTCACCTGTGTTTTGTCCTTTTCAGTTCAGTCATGAAGCAGTCCCCTGGTGATTATCTTGTTTTTTCTGGAAGTGTTAGTGATGTTTCTCACTATCAT